CTTAATATCACGTATGGGAAATATGGCGAGCTAAAATTGAAAGGCTAAGTAATTCGAGGTTTCACTTTTGGTCAAAACCGCATTCAATATTTATGCTGCATACTTTGCGGCGCGGCCTTTGGCTGGGCGGGCAATTATCCTGTGAATTATATACAGGCGGACGACACTGACATGGAGTGGAAAGGAAAAAAAAAACAAGACTGCCTACAATTTCAGCCCCCATCTTCACACTTGACACACGAAATATTGGCACGTTAATGTGCCTCACATGGCAAGCGCCCACGCCACCCAGTGTCCGGCTGTCCAGCTGTGCAGTGTCCTGCGGTGCTGCTTGGCATACAAGTTTAATATCGTCCTTAAATTTAAATAGCCTCAAGTTGTCGGTGGCCTTTGCGTTTGATTTGCCAGCATTTCAATTCAGCACAGAGCATTTTATTTTATTTTTATTTGCCTGCCAGCCAACCGTCTTTCGGGGGCGGACATAAATTCTCAGCCTTGCGCCGTTGCTCTATTTATTTATTTATACATTTATTTTGAGGCCAGCGCTTTGATTTGATTGTGCACTGCAGTGAGCTGAAGATTCCCCCGCACAGGTAGCCAGCGCAGCAATGTAGGCTATGAAAACTGCATAAAGGCCTTGAAGTTGTTGACGGATCAACATGTGTACACACCTACATATAACTAAACGTATGTATGTGTATGTCTATGTGAGAATGGAATACTGTGCGCATGTAGAAATACGCATGTCTAAATGCGACATTTTCATTAGCCTTCTTAATAAGCCAATGCTCAGGTGAATTGTTCATTTAATATATAATCTTTGAGTCATTATTTAACAGTTGATAGGCATGAAAGATATGGCTCAAATCGTTTACTTTCAGTTGTAAGAACGATTGATATTGATATTGAATATATTGATTTATACTTATTATTGATTTATACTTATACAAAATAAATAAAATTCATATTTAGTTGTACAATACTTGTTTCAAATTACATTAAGGAAAATAGATATAAATAATATATATTTAGTTCAATAATATATACATATTTTAAAATTTTTAATTATTTATACTTAAAATATTTTCTTTGATATCTAGAAATCATCAATGATCCACCTCTAAATTATACTAATTCTGACTCTTAAACTGTGATACATGTCTATGGCAGAAAGTAATAAATTTGCTTTAAATTCATCTTAAGAGGAGATCAACCATAGAATACTTGCATTATTTGAAGGTTAAGAAACAGAGCCGCATGGCCAGTGAATAAATTGTGTATTATATTGTATTGGTATTAAATGCTACAAGAGTAAATATATTTTAGGTGATGAAACCGTAGCGGATATGATATATATACAAAATTCCAAGTAGAGAGGAAATGCTGCGAGGAGAACACAAAACCAATATACTCTCACTTCCTCTCGCATAAACAAGTAATAAATAAATGGGATATACGATTTGATGCCAATCCATATTGGCATATGCAAGCTTTTTGAATCGCAAATAAAAATTGTGCGTAGGTATATTTGATTGGCTATTGAATGTTGTTGGTAAGCAATCCGAACCAATTTCAAATTGAATCAATGCAAATATTTACCAGCTTTATTTTTCATGATAACCCAAAATAAACTCGGACGGTTGTTGTTCGTCTTGTTCTTTGTTCTTTGTTGTTTGTTGTTTGTGAGGCAATCAAAAGTTTTCAAAAAGTTGGCACGCACACACATGCATACAAATGCAGATATTTGTGTGTGCATAAGCATAAATTAATAAAAGTCTGTGACAAAGAGAATTCTCAAAATAACATAGCCTAGTTTAAGGCCAGCCCTTCGTCCTGCTTATTTGCGGAGCAATTTGAGCGCTAGTTTTGTTTTCATTGTTTCTGTTGGCATCATTTCGAAATACGCAGCAAGCAGTCGCAATGGCAACAACAACAACAACAACAACAACAACAACAACAACAACAGCGACATCAAATGCAAGGGCATTCACACATACACACGAGCACATACAGACACACGCAGTCACAGAGAGCAACTGCAAATAGTGTAAATGTCCTTGAAAGCGCGCAAATGGCAAAGCCAACAGCGTTGGCCCTGGCGACGCGAATACAGGTGAAGGCTGTGCAGGACGAAAATCGGGGCCAGCATGCTATCATGTTCGTAATCCTTTTGTGCCTCAAATTCTCATAATTAGTGAAGATATTTTCCAATATGGAACACCTACAGACAATGTATAATTGTAATTATATAAACGTAAATATAAAAATATAAATATAAACATAAATATAAATGTAAATATAAATATAAATATAAATATATATATAAATATAAATATAAATATAAATAT